TGGGTATTTCCTTTGAAGTCCAAGGATCAAGTACTTGATGTGTTCAAGGGTTTTCAGGCCTTGGTTGAAAGACAAACAGGGAAGACATTGAAATGCATCCGCTCAGATAATGGTGGTGAGTATATTGGTCCTTTTGATAGATATTGCAGAGAGCAGGGTATTAGGCATCAGAAAACTCCTCCAAAGACTCCTCAGTTAAATGGTTTAGCAGAGAGGATGAACAGAACTCTAGTTGAGAGGGTTAGATGTATGCTTTCAGATGCTAAGCTGTCAGATTCCTTTTGGGCAGAAGCATTTAATACTGCTGCTTATGTTATCAATTTATCTCCTGCTGTTGCTTTAGATGGTGATGTCCCTGACAGAGTTTGGACTGGTAAGAATGTTTCTTATGATCATCTTAGAGTCTTTGGGTGTAAAGCCTTTGTACATATTCCTAAGGATGAAAGGTCAAAGTTGGATGTTAAAACTAGGCAGTGTATCTTCATTGGTTATGGTCAAGATGAATTTGGCTATCGTTTCTATGATCCTGTTGAGAAGAAACTTGTTAGAAGCCGTGATGTTGTGTTCTTTGAAGACCAAACAATTGAAGATTTTGACAAAGCTGACAAGGCTGATTTTCAGACTAGTGAGAGCTTAGTTGATGTTGATCCAGTTCCTTTGACTATTGCACCGGAAGAAAATCTTCATAATGATGAAAATCAAGTTGATAATGAAGATGGTGATCATGTTCAGAATGACCGGCATGATGTTGTTGATGCTCCAGTGCAAGATGATGTGGTTGTCCAACAACCAATTATAGATGCTCCAGAGATTTCTCTCAGACGATCTAGTAGAGAGAGAATTCCTTCATCTCGTTATTCTCCCAATGAGTATGTACTCTTGACTGACGGGGGAGAACCTGAGAGTCTTGATGAGGCCATGGAAAGTGAAGAAAAAGAAAGGTGGTTTGATGCTATGGAAGATGAGATTAAATCCTTGCATGATAATCATACCTTTGATTTGGTTAAGTTACCTAAAGACAGAAAAGCTTTGAAAAATAGGTGGGTTTTTCGGGTGAAACATGAAGATGGTAATCCAGTTCCACGGTACAAAGCTAGATTAGTTGTCAAGGGATTTAATCAGAAAAAAGGAGTTGATTTTGATGAGATATTCTCTCCAGTTGTGAAGATGTCATCCATTCGTGTGGTTCTAGGCTTGGCTGCAAGTCTAGATTTAGAGGTTGAACAAATAGATGTTAAAACTGCTTTCCTCCATGGTGACTTAGATGAAGAAATTTATATGGAGCAACCGGAAGGTTTTGAAGTCAAGGGTAAAGAGAATTATGTTTGCAAATTGAAGAAGAGCTTGTATGGTTTGAAACAAGCTCCCAGGCAGTGGTACAAGAAGTTTGGTTCTTTTATGAGTCAGCAGGGCTTCAAGAAGACTTCTTCACACCATTGTGTTTTTGTGCAAAAGTTCTCTGATGGTGACTTTATTATTGTGTTGCTTTATGTTGATGACATGCTTGTTGTTGGTCATAATACTTGCAGGATTCAGAAGTTGAAGCAAGAGTTGAGTAAGTCTTTTGCTATGAAAGACTTAGGACCAGCAAGGCAGATTCTTGGCATGCAGATTGTCCGTGATAGAAAGGCCAAGAAATTGATATTATCACAAGAGAAGTACATTCAGGAAGTACTTCGCAGATTCAGCATGGATAAAGCTAAGGTTGTCAGTACACCTTTAGCTATGCACTTCAAATTGAGCACGAAACAGTGTCCTTCTAGTGATGATGAGAAGGAAGATATGAAGAAAGTTCCTTATGCTTCAGCTGTTGGTAGTTTGATGTATGCGATGGTTTGTACAAGACCGGATATTGCTCACGCTGTTGGAGTTGTTAGCCGTTTTCTTTCTAATCCGGGAAGAGAACATTGGAATGCTGTGAAGTGGGTTATGAGATATCCCTGTGGCACTTCTAGTCTGAGTTTGTGTTTTGGTACAGGGTAGCCTATTCTTTGTGGTTATACTGATTCGGACATGGCTGGTGATGTTGATACTCGCAAGTCTACTTCAGGGTACTTGGTTACTTTTGCAGGGGGAGCTGTGTCTGGGCAATCTAGGTTGCAAAAATGTGTTGCTCTATCTACTACAGAAGCTGAGCTTATTGCTATCGTTGAAGCTTGTAAAGAATTGCTTTGGATGAAGAGATTCTTGGGGGAACTTGGTTGTGCTCAAGAGAGGTATGTGCTTTATTGTGACAGTCAAAGTGCTATACATCTTGGCAAGAATTCTACGTTCCATGATCGGTCTAAACACATTGATGTGAGATACCATTGGATTCGAGATGTGTTGGATTCTAAGTTGCTTGAGCTTGAAAAGATTCATACAAATGACAATGGTTCCGATATGATGACTAAAGCTTTGCCAAGAGGGAAGTTTGAAGATTTTTGCATGGTCGCCGGGATGGCGGTCTCCTCCACATACTCGTGAGGGGGAGAATTGTTGGGTTATGGGTCTTTTTTCCCTTCCTATGTGGATAAATAAAAGCCCAATTTGAACCAACCCATTTTTGCCCATAGGCCCATTCTTATGAGGCAAAATATAAGCCTATTTAGGTCTTATTTTCAAATACACAGAGAGTTTTTTAGCAGCCAAAAAGAGAGAAAAAGAGCAGATTTTCGCAGTCAAAATTCAGCCCTAACAGCCAACTTCAAATTGCGATTCCCGCTTCGTTTCTTGTCCGATTGAGCTGATTTTTGGACAGCATATTATCTTCATCTCAATCTTTGATTAGGAACTGACAGAGTTGGATTTGGTGGTCTGCAGCTTCAGTTTTGCTGTCGTGAATAGTAGCTGCGAAATTGGTGATTTTGCTCCTTTAATTCTCTAGATTTGGTGCAATCTTATTTTGTTGTTGCTCGTTGTTTGGCACTTGTTTTGTGGCCAATTTTGGAGAACAATATTGTAACTCTTGGTGATTATAGTGGAGCTTTTGGTCCCGTGGTTTTTTTACTCTTCACATCGAAGGATTTTCCACGTAAAATCTTGGTGTCTTGTGTGATTGGTTTATCATTGTCTTGTTATATTTGTTTGATTGAATTACTTGCTGCCTTACTTTCATATTGCTTGTGGTTGTTTGTCTTCTCTTGGTTCAAATCGAAAAGGGAAAGTATAGACTTGAGTATTCTTCTGCTGTTATCCTGTCAGGCATTCTTTGTTAGTGCCTTGTCTTTCCCAACAAAGTAGTATCAGAGCCAGATTCAATGATGGAGTCAGGTTCAGTGGTTCGATAATCGATGATTGAACCAGGTTAGAAAGATGTGTTCATCTTGGCGGGTGTAGTTCTAGCCGCAACCTTTTTGACAGTAATGAAAAAATTTTGTTGAAGAAATTGTTTGAGAGAGGTTCTATGTGTTGAGACATAGATATTGCAAAGGAGATTATGGAGAGGACAAGCAAGTTGTTGAAGATTAAGTAAAGAAGGTGGACAAATTTATTTTGTCAGAAATTCAGGCCAATGGGGAGATTTGTTGGGTTTTATTTGCCCTGATTTCTTACCATAAATAGGTTTTTCTTTAAGGAAAAGGTTTTGGATTGACTAATCCTTTTCTTGTAGGAAAAGGTTTAGAACTCTATAAATAGAGGAATTTTCCTTCTAACTTAATCAGCATCCACAATGTAGTTTTAAGGACTTTGAGAGTTTTGGTTAGGGGGAGAATTTATGGGTCACAAGCTTGATACGTTATCACTTGTGTGAACCTTCCATGTATTCTGAGTGATTTGGTTGAGGTTGTTTCTCTCTGTATTTTGTACTCTCAATATTTATAGTGGATTGCTCATCTCCTTTGTGGACGTAGGTCGATTGACTGAACCACGTTAAATCTTCGCGTCTTTTGGAATATTTCTCGTTGTCTTCTTACTCGTGGTCTTTTGAGGTTTGCTTTGTTAGCTTCCGCGTTTACACCTGCTTATTTTCGGTCCTAACAAGTGGTACTTTATGGGGAAAAAATCACAAGTGAGAAAATAAAAATACAAATGTTATGCAAGAAAATGTATCTGCAAAAATAGATAATAACTATTCGGACAAAAGAGCGGTAAAACTATAAAATATATATATGATGTTGTATCTCACTTATAGGAACACACTGAAATGTTGTAGTGTCCTCAAAGGACAGAACTCGTTAGTGAAGGTGCACATGCCTTAACAACTCGACTTCTACAAGCTACACTAACACGCTAATAAAGCATGGTGAAGCGCTCAACCTAGGCTATGGGTCGGAGCTACTTGGAGCTCAGGAGGGTCACCCAAACTCCCTTCGTAAAAAATTACATGAATTTCATTTTATGAGTATTACTGCCTTAATGAAATGAGTCTAATAGTAACCTGAAAGAGAGGATGATGAAAATTACATTAAATTTTATTTACAATGGTATCGAGGGATAATTGAGTCTTCAATCAAGTTAATGCATCACAATAACTAATATATATAGATTAGAAAATAGTATCAAACAAGATACTAATAATACGCAAAATTAACACATGCATTATTTTTTCCTACTGAATAACACAAACAATCCTAATAATACATAAAATTAATGCATACATTATTTTTCCTAAGAATCCTGGACAAAAAGTAACTTTTATACGAATAAAAGTAGCTGAGAAACAAATATAGCAGCTAAAAGAGAAATATAGATGAATTTGGAACGAAAAATTTCCTAAGAAAAAAAAAAGACATTCAATATAATTTAATGTCCGTAAGAGTTTCGGTATAAACAAAACCCTCCCGATCAACTGTAACTGCATCAATATCATAATCTTGAGAAATCATTCGATGTTGGCCACCACATATTATCTTATATTCATATGATGTTTCCACTTGTTCTGGTGTCACCCAATTCTCTTTATCAAAGCAGAGTAATACTTCGCATACGTTGGTACAATTTTATAAAAACCAACCCTTGGAATAGTGAACAATTTCATCCAAGAATCTTTAAGACCGTACTTTTGCATTACCCATAAACTAAATTCTTCCTCTCAATACTGATAGTCCCACATGAACATCAACTTGAACTTCAACGTTATCAAACTTGAATGGAGTGAGCTCGGAGCTTACTATATCTGGCAATGATATCTCTCCGTAAATTTCATCTGAAATATTAAATGAAACCACACAGACCTCTGATAAGAAACCAAGCCAATGAAATGCTCCATCTACAAATGGCAAAAGTTCTCCACCACACAACAAACCACTATCTGTTCTGCCAGAGGTTTTACGATCAATTATTTTCCAGGAACCATTTTTCAGTGCGAAAATTTCATTGTCGTTATTCCCAGACATGTCAATCCTGAACACTTTATAATCTTCACTTTTAGAGTCAAAAGCCAATCCATAAGTAGTTCCCTTATCACCATCACCATAATCACTGATACTACTACTAGAGTAATCTTCTATCTGTTCATGATTTTTAGAGTCATAATTAGCCAATCCATCATCGTGGTCACTGATACTATTAGAGTAATTTCCCATATTTTCGTCAGCATTTTCATATTGATCTCCCATCTGAAATGAAAATTTAGAATGGGGAAGTCGTATTGATTGTCTAGTGGAAGGGTTCCATAGGACTAATATAGAAGGTTGTTCGTCATAACTGTCTGTCCAAATTCCGATGAGAAACAAGCCATCACAACTAGAATACATTTTTATACCATCTTTTATATTAGAATCTGAAGTGCAATCAAATATGGGAATATCCTCCTCCGTTAAGGTGAAGGAACCAGACCAGAATTGACAGTTAGGATCCCACCGGACAAAAAGCAGTTTTTGAGAACTGAGTCGACTGTTTGAATGATTGAGATGCGTCTTTTTAAAATAAGGTTGAGAAATTAACGTGTTCCAAAATTTTGACACGCAATTGAAACGAATAAGTGACTTCACAGGTAGCCTTTTCAAGATGTCTACAAGTATTTCCTCCATTACCATTACAAAATGGATGGCAGTATATCAAACAAACTCAGTTTAGTTTGGTAGGGTGTGATTCAGGGAAAAAACTAAATGAATGCCTGTTGTGTTGCAGGGAAAGAAGTAGTTATTTTACCGAAGAAATAGAATTTGATTCCTAATAGAATTGGAATTCTATTTTTGTTGGTTTTGTCATTGTAAAAGGATTCCGTTCTAATAGAGATTGCTCAAGTTTATCCTCAAATTTGAATAAAATTTCACGCAAATAGCTAAAAAAATTGCATCTCAAGCCCTTATGAAACTTGTCGCATATTCAATAACCCGGTTCCGATCCAGAACTCAACCCGCGTTTGATTTCGCTTAAGAGTCAAGCAAAAGACCTAAAATTTCTTTATTCAAAAATTGTTACGTCCTCCTGGCGGAGTAGCATCGATGACGATGAACGTAACTACTATGCCGGCGAAAGATCTTGCTTACACCAATTGCGCATATTGTTCTCCTACAGATCTCAGAAACTTTCTTGTTCCGGGATCCAAGTTCGCTGATGCTTTTGTTCTCACTCTTGCATATCCTTTCATTACTCTTCTTATTCCTAATTTGCAAATTTATTCCGTTTCTGTTTTTATTATTGTTGAGCTTTATCCAATGAATGCTGATGAGCGTATGGAATTTGTGCTTTCTATTATTATAATCATTTTTAATGATATTGCCTTAACTGTGAAACACTGCCCACGACGCCATTCATAATGGTCAACTTGGTCTTAATGTGATTCAAAGACGTTATGCCAAAGTTTCCACTGGAGACTCGATATCCGTTAGCAGGTTCTTCAGGACTGTTCAGATATTTTTGCTTACTATCCTCTGATTTTTCAATAAAATCAGTTAATCAGTCCTTTCACTGTTCAAATTGCAGATTTGTTCCAACTCAGGACTTCAACCTTGCTTTACTTACCCTTGACTTGGAGTTTGTGAAGAAAGGGACCAAAGAGGAGCAGGTAAAACTGTCCACTGTTTCTGCGTCTCGAGTTTTCTTTTATATCCAACAGTCACTAGTGTTCTATACAATGGCTCTATTTCCTTTGAAGTTCCAAGTGAGAAAATAAAAAATATAAATGTTATGCAAGAAAATGTATCTATATAAACAGAGGAGTAATAGTTATTTGGACAAAAGAGTGGTAAAACTATGATATCACTGTTTATATGGGGTTGTATCTCACTTGTGGGATCATATTGGATATGTTGTTGTGTTCTTAAAGACAGAACTCGTTGGTGAAGGTACACATGCCTCAACACCTTCACTTCTACAATCTACACTAACACGCTAATTAAGCAAGGCGAAACACTCAACCTGGGCTCACCAAGCTTCAGGGATTAGGCGTGCTTTAAGAGAGCCTTAAAAGAACAACTCTGGTGAAGTTTTGATTGTACCATATCTTTCAGCTTGTAGCAAGTCTGCTGTAAAGCATGCAGATCTTTTACAACTTTTGTTGTGATGCATTTTGGTTATATCCATCTTCTAGTTTAGCTGGTTTTGCTTTGGCTTAGGGATCAAGAGTACTCTGGTTCAAACACTTCTGTTGATGTAGACATTGTAAGTTTACCAAATATCTCTTTTATAGGTCGATGCATATTCTTTGGCTGATCAAGTTCGCAAGAGATTTGCCAATCAGGTGAAGGCTCTATCCCCCTGTTTCCTCTAAAAGATTTCTGCTTTCAATAGTTTTCCTCTTGTTATCCTTTACCTGACAAAGCTTATTGGACGGCACATACGGTGTGGTTCTTCATATCTATACTTTCAAGAATGATTTTCATGTCAGTCTACTTTCTTTAGAATTTTGGAAGATAAGGCTGAATACTTACCTGATCTTTCATCTAGTTTTGCTTTTTTTCATAATCAATTTAACATAGTATGAATATACTCCCCTCCTTGTGATGGCTACTTTTGTCTATAAAATCATGCCATAGAGACAACTGAGGATAATGACTGACACATAAATGAGTAGCTTGGCTGTACTTATTCATTTTACAGTTTACATGTCTATTATCTGCTTTATTAATCAAGATTCATATGGAAATGCCTTGGGGCGTTCAGTTGGAATCAATATGTAATAACAATATGGCATGGGGTTCTCCTTGTAGCTGTTCAATTATATATTTATCCCACATGGGGTGAGAAATTGCTCCAAGCCTTTAGGTTTTGGATTGGGTGTTCATATCTTTTTACATGGTATCAGAGTCAACCTTTAGCAAATGCATTTTGGCACTGGTAGACACATTAAAAACAGACACTTAAGTCAAACATGCCCCTTAAAAAACATGCTCTCAGCTTTACAAAAGGAAGTCCTTTCTTTCTTTCTTAAACTCCATTGCTCAGTCACATCATCACATAAATGGGGACGGAAGGAGCAGTATATTAGAAGATGATATAAAGTAGTTGTTCAATCCGGTTTACCAGAGAAACTGCAGTAGATGTTCTGAGTCTAGTTCTAATGAGAGTAACTGATGTATAGATAATTTTACCTATGCAGATTATGACAACTGGGCAAAATGTGACATTTGAGTATCATGCAATGGTTATATAGTCACTGTGAATTCAGCTACTGTTAAGGGGCAAGAAGAATCTAATGTTGAAAGAGGGATGGTTTCAGATGACACATACTTTATATTTGAAGCTTCAAACTCCAGTGGGATAAAGGTTACTTCTGTCTTTAAGTAATATACTAGTGGCACAAGTTGTCAAAGAAAATGTCTTCTCTTATGTTTATTGGAGTTTCTTTTGATTTGATTCTTGTTGCATCTGACTTCAATACAGATTATCAATCAGCGTGAAGCTGCTAGCAGCAACAACTTTAGGCAGATTGAATTCAATTATGAATCATTGGGTATAGGTGGTCTTGGTGCAGAGTTTTCTGATATTTTTCGAAGAGCTTTTGCTTCCAGGGTTTTCCTTTCCCATGTGACAAACAAGTATGTAGAGTTCTTGCTGAATAACAAAATTCCTTCTGTTTTCATGAGAAGTTATGTCTATTTCTTGAAGAAATAGTGTAGTAAAATTACTTACTCACATGGCCTTGTCTTTGGGATGAAACTACTTTTCAGGCTAGGTATCAAGCATGTCAAGAGAATGCTTCTCCATGGACCTCCTGGTACAGAGAAGACGCTGTTAATGAGTAAGGCTGGTCGTGACAAAGTTTGCGACCTCTGAGAGGTTAATGACGCCGGTCTCGTCTGGAGTCTAGATTCTTGTCGTGACAAAGTTGGTATCGGAGCACTAGGTTAAATTTCGAGAATAATGAGTTCACATCAACCATATTGAATAGTTTCTAAGTCATGGTAGTGAAGTACACCACTATCCTGGATTAGAGACTGCATGATGCGTAGAAAAATTTTCCTTCTTCTGATCTTATCGTGCTTTTCCTAATGTCTGAGTTCTTGGTGTTATGAACGTGTCTAACATCAATCTTTGTTGTTTTCAGAGAATGAACACTTGGAGAACTAAGGGTCTGAGGAGGGGAGGAACATCAATTAAGGGTAATCAGAATCCACCCAGGCTCCAGCTGATGGAGTGGTCATGCCGGTTAACCCAGCTAGGTTGACTGATGCTGAGGTGAGGTCATCTCTAACCCAGATCGCACATGCCATCACGATGCAGGCTCAGGCTATGACTGCCCAAGTCAACCGGCAGGATGTTCAGAGGAAGAACCCACGGTTCGCAGCATGGCTGACAGACTGCGAGATTTCACGAGGATGAATCCTTCTATATACACATGGGCTAAGACATCAGAAGATCCTCAAGAATTTGTAGACGAGGTGCATAAGATTCTGGTGGCTATGGGGGCCACTGATATTGACAAGGTTGAGATGACTTCCTACCAGCTCAAGGATGTTGCACAAACTTGGTGCAAGATGTGTCAAGATAGCAGTGTCTTAGATAGAGTGCTAGTTACATGGGAGCTGTTCAAGACAATATTTCTGGAAAGATTCTTCTCCAAAGAGATGAGGGAGGCCAA